CAGCCTTCACTTGCCCCTGGGGGCAATTAGTGCCCCTGGGGGGTCAACTGCAGCTGCAGAATGAAAACATCAAACATCATCCAGGTCGCTAAAAGTTTTTATGATTGAGGCGCATTTCAGAAAGTTGATATTTAAAATTCAGGCGTTAAGCTTCATTTTTGAGCATTAAATTATAAAACTTGATGTTTTCATTGTAACTGGTTACAATCTGAGGTTAAAATAGATTTTTACCTGAATCTTCAGGTTTTCTTCACACCGGGTTGGACTGAAATGAATTAAGAGTCATCAGTCCTGTCACATTGAATGTGTTGCTTGATCATTTTATTTCTTTTATTTTTTGTCATGATGGTGATGATGATGATGATGATTACTGCGTTGGGTTTATTAAATCCAAGCTGCGCAAAGCTCCAGGCGCGTCCTCACCATCATTAATTTTCTTGATCAGAAACAGGTAAGCGCTTCATTTTCCAAATTGCTGAAGCGCCCTCCGCTGGTTCCGCGGCTCCGACAAACAGCCAATCGGAGCCGCGATGCGCAGTGAGCGACGCGGCGCCCGCGCCCAATCAGCGCGCCGGAGCCGCCCGTGTCACCAGCGCAGCCAGCCGCCTATAAAACCCGCTCTGACAGATCGGCTGATCCAGTCTGATCGCTGATCTCACGACCGAACCGAAAGCAGCGCGACAACAACCCGACTCCCTCCGGCGCGATGAAAGCAATAAGCCCCGTGCGCTCCTTCCGGAAAGCCGGCGCCGGTTTCTCGGATCACTCCCTGGGAATCTCCCGGAGCAAAACCCCGGTGGACGACCCGCTCAGCCTGCTGTACAACATGAACGACTGCTACTCCAAGCTGAAGGAGCTGGTTCCGAGCATCCCGCAGAACAAGAACGTCAGCAAGATGGAAATCCTGCAGCATGTCATCGACTACATCCTGGACCTGCAGATCGCGCTGGACTCCAGCCTGCATCACCCCGCGGCGCGGCCGGGGCAGAGCGCGTCCCGGACCCCGCTGACCGCCCTCAACACAGACATCAGCATCCTGTCGTTACAGGTAATTACAGGATTTAAAAAAAAATAAAAATAAAAAAAAACCGACGGCTCGTTTCTCCTCTTTTGTTCACAATACGATCTAGATTCGACGCCCGCTGCGTAAAATCCCCCCAAAACAAGCGCTAACATTTTGGTTTGTTTTTGTTTTCAGTCCCCGGAGTTTCCGTCAGAGCTGCGGACAGATGACAGCCGGACTCTGCGTCGCTAAGGCGGTAAGTAGGCGCAGTTTGCGTCGGATTTGTGCGGCTCCTCTCGTGTCTGTAATGAAGAGCATCTGCAACAGGAAAATAATGGCTGTTTGGATTACTGCTACTACCATGTCTGCACATAATTGGTACAAGAAGTGGGTAGGCGCCAGCTGAGCGGCAATTACGCTGATTCTTCCCCAGATTGGAGGCTGAAGTTGAGCGAAAAGTGCGTGCGCTCCCATCCGTGTGTGTGTATATGTGTGCGTGCATCTGGAGCGCAGGGTTTGCTCAGTATTGGGAGTGTTTGGTTAAATGTTAAAAACTGCGGCTTCCTCCCTGGCGCCAGTCTGTCCGGATCTCTGCCCTGTTTGCGTTTTCTAAACACGCCTCTCTCTTTCTCAATCTCTTGCAGGTGTTTGGTCAAGACGCAGAAAAACACGCAGGACGCGGGGAGCAGGACTTTCCTCCCCCACTCCTGGATTTTTTTGTTTTTTCCTCCAGAAATCAAGAGACTTTCGCTTATTATGGGACAATCTGATGTGATGTGTTCTCTGTTTGGACTCCTCGTTATTATTTAATTTAAGACTTCTTATTTGTGGGTCCTTTCTGGAAACGGAAGGCGCGTTATTCGGGATTATTTCCCCTCCTGTCCTCCCTTCGTCTCCCCTCTCCCCGTTTGAACTCTTCGCTTTTTTTGCGGAGGTTGGGATCGTGTACAGAACAGACTCGGTTAGTTACTGTAAAAAGTTTAGTCTTGTCTTGTCAGAATTGTTGGCACATGAAGGACTGGACGATGTTTAAAACATAAAAAAGAGTAAAAGTGAAAGAATGAGACTTTGTGAACTCTCTTGTATAGTTGCAGGAATTTGAAACTCCTGCAAAAAAGTGTAATGTTGTACTTAATTATGCTGAAACTTTTTATAAAAGTTATGTAAATTGTACCTCTTTTTTTCTTTTTTTATACAAAATAAATCCAAAACGCAACTGCGACATGTTTCATTTGGTGCGTAAAGTCAGCTGTCGTCCAGCGGAATGTGCGCATTTAAAGCGACATTTCTGCCCTGGAGGCGCACAGGTTGCGTAAAAAAACTTATTTGGAGCGCAGCACTTTTACTTTCTCACATGTTGGTAAATAGGATTAGGAGGTTTTAGTCTGAGCCAGTTGAGCTCCGGCCAAATCTCAAGCAAGTTAACGTCAGATGAAACCGAGTCTGATCGATTTTTAATCAATCTGATTGGAAATGATTAGATATCAGCTGGACAATGGAAATATTGAGGAGAGCTCATGCGCATTCCGGGCTGACTCTTCCAAAAGTATTCATACCTCCGGAGTTTGTTCGCATTTCGTTTTGTTACAAACAAAAGGGAGACTAAAAGGCACCATGGGAAACATGGTGGTGGCAGCATTATGCTGTGGGAAGCGGACCAGAGTTGATGGGGGAAATTCATGAAGCTGGAAGAAAACTTGTTACATTCTGCAAAAAGCCTGAGACTGACCATCCGAACCAGCCAGAGATGCAATTAGATGTGCTGAAATGGCCTAGTCAAAGTCCAGACCTAAATCCAACTGAGAATTTAGGTTGTTTTTTTTGTGGTAAATTGAAAACAGGGTTAGGGTTAAAATGAAAGAACCAGCTGACGTTTTTAAATATAGTTGTAATGACAAATGCAGGTTAAATTAAGAAGTAATTAATTGATCCAAAAAGGAAATGAAAGTTTAAAACAGTGAAACTGCATTGATTTCCCCACAAAGTGCCAGGAATATTTTGCAAGATGTCTTGTTTTTTGATTCTATTCCATTTGTTCACAATAGTAGAGTTTATTCAATTAATTATTCAAATTATTTTGGAAATAATCCACACAATGCATAATTTTCCACAGAAAAAGATGTACTGATGGCAACAACAACAACAAAAAATTTTCTTTGGTGTAAACTCAAAATTGTGATAATTTAATTTATTTATAGCAAAAGGCATAAAAAATCCTACAGTAGATATTTATCAAAAGAAAGTTAAGGTTATGTAAAATTGGTATCTCTAAATGAGTCTCATTCAGTTGGACTGAGTACAGAAATCGTTCTTTGGATTGCAAACGCTGTAAAAATCCCCAAATGAAACGTTGAGGTTTCTGGTTGCATAAAATGGGTTTAAGTTTGAAGGGTGGGAATAGTTTTTGTGTTAAAAGTTTCAGGAGGCTGAGATGTTCTCCATCTGACCCGAGGAATCACATCAGTCCGAAAAGAACTCTGAAAACCAGTTGAGTTTCATGTGAACAGAAACACTGAGTCAGTCTAGGAAACGGTAACCGAACCGTCTCCCTTCATAAAAGTCAACTCTCAGCTTTGAGTCTTGTTGCTCTGAACTGCAGCTTCTTATCGGCAGGCCTGCAGCGGGTTTGTATGGAGAGTGCGCCATCTATCGGACAAAATGAATCCTGTTGGTGCACATCTTCAGCTTGCCTGGCTTTGAACATGATGCATGTAGTTTCAAATTTAAACGGTGTAAACTCAAGGTTGCTGCACATTTTTATGTTAAAGTATCACATTTGGATTAATAAATAAAAAATAAATGCGCTGTTTTCAGCGCATTTTAAAAGTTTTATACCAGAAAATTAACATGAAAGCTGCTAAAAACAGACAGGAGAAAACAAAAGTAACAGAACAATCAATACTCATCATGTAACTTTAGTTATTGAATGTTCAGATTCTCATAAAGTCAGTAAAGTCAGTTACAAAGTCAGTCTTCTATCACCTGAAGAACATTTTCAAGATTAAAGGACGAAACTCATCCATGAGTTTATCTTTAGTCGCATTGATAACTGCAGGTCTGACTGACAAAAACCAATGGTGCAGCTGATCCAGAACGCTGCTGCTGGCGTTCTGACTAAAACCAGGAAGATAGAGAACACCACCCAGTTCTACATCACCCAGTTCTACACCACTTGGTTCTACACTAACTGGATCTACACCACCCAGCTCTACACCACCCTGTTCTACACTAACTGGATCTACACCACCCGGTTCTACATCACCCAGATCTACACCACCCAGCTCTACACCACCCGGTTCTACACCACCCAGATCTGCACCACTCGGTTCTACACCAGGTTCTTCAGACCTTCACTGAGAGAACAGACTCTAAAATACTGCTGGTAGTAAATCACTAAACATTTTAAATCTACTCATCAATCTTCCAGACCTTCTGGTTCTGCTCTGCATCCCCATAACCAGAACCAGAACCAAACATGGAGAAGCATCCTTCAGCTCTGAAAATACTTCCAGAAAACTGTAAAAGATGTGAAACACAGGTTTCCTTTAAATCAAGGCTAAAACCCTCCTGTTTAGAGCTGCCTTTGACTGGAACATCTTTAATTTTAGTCTGGATTATAACATTACTGTTTTGTTTTCCCATTGTGATATTACGCGTTTGTAGATAGAACTTTTTTGTTATAGGATTATTAATAAAATCATTTCTATCTAATTCTAGACTGCGTGGGGCCTCTGGGAATCCATGTTGAATATCTAAACAACCGATTATCCAGAAAATACTGTAATAACGATTATCAGACGATTATTATGGGTCATGTGATAAAATATTTATTGATTCACAAAACACAACATATAGCAGCAAATCCATTCCCTCCTACCTAGAAACTACCAAACAGCACCACCACACAACACTACTGAACTATCAGTAACATCTAGAACACTTTTTATTCCTTCAAGGAAAAACAGAGGAGAGAAATCACAAACAGGAAACGATCACTGATTTGAGGTCAGGAGTTCTGCTAATGGTTTTATTTGGATCAGCTACTCATTCCACAGACTCCTGCACTAAAACATCACAACATCAAAGATGAACATGACCCAAATTAGAGAGGAGGGCCTCAGAGAACGCTCTCCCGCTCGTCTCCCAGGTTGATGGAGCACAGGTTCTGGTTCTGATGGACGGCGGTGGCGGCGGTGCTTCCTGGGTGGATGATGATGCTGGAGTCCAGGAAGTTCTCCTGCCGCTGACAACTGTTGTTGGAGTTGGAGTTGGGGTCGTCTGTCGTTGAGTTGTTGTTGAGGGTGGTGGTGCTGGCGGTGCGGTTCAGGTTGCTGACCGAGTCGGCGGGCCAGCCTTCGTCCGGGCTGCTCGCCATCAGGCTGGCTTCAGACGGCGCGTCGGAGCAGATGGACATGCGGGCCACCGCCGCGTCCTGCAGCCGGCTGGGCAGGAGGCCCCTCTTCCTCACCAGGCCCTCCAGCTCCAGCTCGATCAGGCCGGGGTTCAGCGCTCCGCCGGCCTGCTCCGGGGGCGAACCCAGGGAGCTGTTGCTGGACCGCATCCCTGAATCCGAGTCCTTCTTCTCCAGGACGTCTGAGTGGACGCCAGGTGATGGCGGACTGGCGCGGCCCGCCTTGTGGAGGAGTGGCGTGGTGTTGTCGGCTTCCTCGGGGCCGGAGTCGTCTTCGCTGGGGAGCTTGTGGTAGTACGACCCCGCTGCTTTCTTTGAAGCCGGGGTCCTGGAGGACAGGCTGTGGTTCTCATCCTCTTCGCTGATGGGGTCCAGGAGCGGCGTGTCGGCGCCCGAGGCAAAGTCTGTGGTGTCGCTGCTCTTGGAGCCCCTCTTGAAGGGCTTGCGGCCGTCTGGGTCTGTTCCCTCCTTGGCCTGAGGATGAGGAGAGGATGAAGGGTTCGATGAGGAGAACACTCATTCCACAGCTTGTCGGAGATAATTACACAAGTACGCCGAGGCCTCAGCATTCAGGATGAAGGAATGAAATTTAAATCATTTTTATTACTCAATTATACCAAAAATGGATTGAATACTGGGTGAGAGATGCATGGTTTCTCATTTACATCAATTCATCTTTTTAGATTTTTTTACCCCCAAATAGCAATAAAACGTCAAATTTAATGTATCTTATTAATTTTACCAGTGGTGGGAACTGCTAGCTATTAAGTTAGCTATGCTAACCCTAAACAACCCTGAAGCGTAAACATGAGTTTCACTAATGCTAAAACGCAATACCAACATGATATTTAGCAAAAGCTAATGCAAAAAACACTAACATAGTAATTAGCAGAGGCTAGCATTAAAGTGCTATACAAACATGATATTTAGCAAAAGCTAATGCAAAAAACACTAATATAGTAATTAGCGGAAGCTAGCATTAAAGTGCTATATTAACCTATTTAGCTGAAGCTGTTGCTAAAGTGTTTTACCAGCACTGTAATTAATACAAGTTAAGGATAGTGTTAAATTCAACCTTGTTAATTCCCACTTGAATGAAAAATTAGCTCCCTTATTAGCAGAAGTTTATCCACTACTGAGTTTTTTTCTAGGCTGCATGAAAACATAAGCCGTGTTTTTGTTGTGTTAAAGATATGTTGTGGCTCTAGAGATTGTTTTTAAGGTGAAGCCAAAATGCCAAAAGTGTTTTATTTGTTTTGATCTGGAGAAATGTACCCAAATTTCGTACAATTACAACAAATATGCTACCCTGTTTATTAATTGGGTGACTTCTGAAGGTATCCGACTTAGAGTAAGATGGGGAAGAATACAAATGCATGCCACACTTTCCAGATTTTGGTTTGTAAATCAATATGAAAGTTAAAAATGACAGTTTTTCAATGTGTGCTGGGACAAACTGAGGGGGCTGACCCACCCCTTTGTCCTCTGAACAGGAGGCCTGGAGGAAGTGGTTCGGATGGGGCTGGACGGGCCGCTCCGCCCCGCTGCCGGTCATCTCCAGCTGGGCCATCTGGGCCACGTACTCCCTGTAGGCGTCCCGGTACTCCGCCTGCTGCTTGTCCGTCAGCTTGCAGATGTCATTGGAGGATTCCTGGGAGATGAGGCTGGACATGCTGGAGGTGTGGGGGTTCGTCGCCTGACAGCAGGAAGGAAAAACTCCGGTTAGTGTGTCTGTAAAGGTGGACATGTTTAGTTGAACTTTAACCCAACTCCAGTCTGTTTGCCCAAAAAGTCCGGTTAGTTGGGGAGGAGTGACCGCTAATCCAACTCTGGTCCTTCTACAAACCTCGCTCTCAGTTCGGTTTAAGTGAACTCTGGTCTGGTTTGAATGCATATGTGAACACAAAGCGGACTGGAGTCCGCTCCAAAAGCAGGAAGTGGACTACAGCAACGGGCATTCTGGGTAAATACAACCAAAACAAACAAGCTAGCCTAGCGCTAGCAGGAGAAATGACTGGTGGTCTTTGCTAAAATCCGACGCCTCTGTTTTTGCTCTCAGTGTCTTCAGAGGTTTTCATGTCGTTTCCTTCAGTGGTTCTTGGTGCAGCGCCCCCACAGGCCAGGAGGGGAACAGGTTTTCCAACCAGTTTAGATCATTTGACTCGTTTCAGCGTGAAAGCAAACTGCAGGAGCTGAAAATGTAGAGAATGTTGCAGTTTTGGTCCCAATTGAACAGAGTCTACCGGAGGGAAAAAACCCCCCAAGACTCCATTTAAAACATTTCACAAACCGAGACATTTAACCAGCAGCAGAGATGCTTGTTCTGAGACGTTTTTATTTTTGCAAACTGGGACTAGCGAGGGTGAAAATAAATGGGGCCTCATGACACCTTCTGCTGCTGCGTATGTATGTATTTTTAATTCTGTCAAATTCAACGTGACATTAGCTTCCTCCTGCTGCGATCGATGAGTTTCTCGCTCTAAACCACACCGACGTGAAGCCGCTGAGGTCACCACCAGGACGGCCTGCTGGGCAGACACCAGGCCGTTTGACGCCTCGCAACATCTTAAACCTCAGAGTTGAGTTGGAATTTCAGGTAAACTGCATTATTTTTATTTATTTCTTTACAGTTGGATTTGACTAGGCCATTCTGACACATGCATATCTTTTAATCTAAACCAGTTGTTTCCAAACGTTTTGTCAAACAGAACAAAAAAATATTATTTTGCTTTCTCAGCAATAAACTAAGCATGAAATACTTTAAATGTCTGTCTTTGTTTTTTAATATTTAAATCTGTCATTTATTGGTTTATTTACAGTTTTATACAATTTGTTTTATTGATTGTTACACTTTGAGATTTCTGCAAAATACTAAGGTATAAATCTGCAAATGTAATTATTAATTAACTCATTGGGGGTGTACAAACTTTTAGTCATGTGAAACAAAATTCAAGAAAATTATTATTAGAAAATAAAATATAGCAAGGCAATAATAATTTTACCATGATTAAAAATCTAAAGTTTAATAAACTAATCTGCATCATTTTTTAACGGCAAAAAACAAAAACAAAAAAAGTGCCAAAAATGGCCCCGGAGCCGCAGTGTGGACACCGCCGATTCTCTGGGTCACTTCCCCATCACCTGGCACCAAAGCGGCATTCTGCCTCCACAGCATGATGCTGCCACCACCATGCGTCAGGTGATATTCTGGCTGAAATCTGTCAGATTTTGACGTTTCTCAATTTTAACGTTGCCTTGTTAACGTTTCACATCAACCTGGGAAGAAAACTACAGGCAGAGGAATAAAACACAAAGCAGGACGGAATCGAACATGCGACCGATTCATCCGTTTGCTGTCCACCAACCGTCCACTGCGGGTTGCTGCTGTGCCGCGGCGGCTCCTCCAGCCCGGCGCCGCTCAGCTCCTCGAAGCTCAGGGCGAGGCTGAAGGGGGCGGCGCCGTCGCGCTGCGTCCCCGCCGGGCGCAGGCCCGACTCCCCGTGGAGAACGCTGCTGCCTTGCTCACTGGCGGCACGAGACTCTTCCTGCAGCGCCGCCTGCGTCTCCGCGTGCCGCTGCTCCATCACCTGCAGCAACGCATTTCAGCAAAACAGGACGACACACAGTGAGTTCCTGCTTTACGTTACAGCCAGGCGGTAAAGTCGTAAAACAGAAAATAAAATGATAAAACGATACAAGGATAAAGCTTTACTAACACCAGAAGCCATATGGCAGAAAGGTCGTATAGCAGTCAGTCGAAATAATACAAGAATAAAGTCGTACAAATCAGTAAATATGATTTATGAAAATAAAGTCAAAATAATAAATGAAAAAAGTTGAAATAATTCGAGAATAAAGTTAAAACCGGTCCTGGATTCATCTCTGTCCTTTCTAAACTAGCATATCCCACAGCATGATGCTGCCGCCACCATGATTCATTGAGTGGATAGCATGTTCAGCGTCCCAGTCTTCAAACGCAGAATTTTACTTCTTGGTCTCATCTGTGCAGAAAACTTGCTTTCAATTGAATTAACGGCAGGTTTTATAGTTAATTAGTCATATTTTAATTGAAAAAAGCAAAATTTTCAATTTAAAAACTCCTTTTTCCTGCTAAATTATTAATTGTTAACTTATGAGCTCAACAATATTTGCAAGTGTTTAAAAATCTTTCTTGACTTTTAAAAAATAGAAAAAGTATCAAGTCAACATTATTTAGCTTCATTTTTAGCATTTTTAGCCACTACAGTCGCAGTTTGCATAATTTCTCTCACCATTCCTCTGAAAAGTTGCCAGTCTCCAAAGTTCATGTCCATCTCTTTCTTCAGCTCGTCCAGGTTGCAGTGAGTCAGAACTCGGCCGTTGATGTTCGCCTGAAACAGACTCGGTAAATTCACCCTGAACCTGGCGGTTAAATTTCAGGCAGAGTGCGGTTCTCCACCTTCGTGACGGTTGCTGCATACTGCGGCAGCATGCTGGGGTCCATCCCGTCGATCTGTCTGAGCCGTTCGCACACGGCCTCCGTCCCCAGTGAGCTGAGCGGCACCACTGGACACAGCTGCGCAGCAAAAAAAAAACCCGTCAGAGAAACAGAGAAAGTTACAGAGAAAATCAACCAGAAACGCTGATTGTGCAGAGCGAGGAGCCGTTGCTGCCAAAGAGACATGCAGGCAAAACGGCAAAAAACCTGCAAAAATCCTTCAAATGTGGATATTTATGAAAATATTTCTGGATCACCGCCACCTTTCAAGATGGCTGCCGTTTTTGAGCATTTTAAGCCAATTGTCATAAAATGTTCCCCATTTTCATGACTTGGATGAACTTTATCTTCTGTTTTGACATCGGTCATCCGATTTATCTAACTTCAAAGTAGTGATGTGGAGCAAACACCAAAACGGAGACAGTCGTCTTAATGGTTAGTATTAGCTTGAGCTAATGTTTAAAATGTAATTAGCAGCTTAGCATTAGCTTCTGGTAATATTTAATGTGTTTAGCAGTTTAGCATTAGCTTCTGTTATATTTTTATGTCCAGTGCTTTAACATTAGTTTTCCCTCATTTTTTTGTGTTTAGCGGTTTAGCGAATAAGTGGTTATTGAACCTAATGTTTTGGTTAGCTTACACACAGCTAACCAAAACATTAGCTGTGGACTAACGTTAGCGGCCATTTTGGAAAATGAAAAAGGAAACAGTAGCTCTAGAACATATGCATGATATTTATGATTTTATAAACTTGTAGGCTGTTATTTTAGACCATTAACAGTCACGTTAATATATTTTGTGTTTAATTAAGTAAAGCACCTTGAAATGCCTTGATGTTGAAATGTGCTATACAAATAAAATTTGATTGATTGATTGATGTAATTGCTGATTTTAATGCAAAACTAAATTTTCTGTGGCAGACATTTTGAAAAAATAAATAAAATAAAAAATCAGTAAATATGATTTCTATGGGTCATTTGATTTGACACCAAAAATGTTCATCTGTAATAAATATTGGCAAAATTTCTCTCCGTTTATCCCTTCTTATCCTCTCTCCCTCTGGTTCCACCCGGCTATTAGCATCATTAAGACCGGGCTTTGACTGAGCCACCTGGCTTTGTCTTTGCTGCTGAAGGACAGCAGAGCGCGGCTTAGCTGGACTCTGACTGGATGTTTGACAAAATAACAATCATCCCAAACAAAACTGCACACACCAGTAAGAGCTGGGCGAATGACGTGCTGATGACGGACGCTAGCAGAATGAAACTACAGCGATGATGGGAAATATTCAAACTTTAATGCATTTTACCAACACAAAGACATGCTAAACAGTCTACTCTATACCAGAAGCTCATTCAAATGGGATGGAATCTATCCACTGATTCTCAATATACTATAGGTCTGGACTTTGACTAGACCGTTCTAAACATGAATCTGCATTAACATCTAAAATGTCAACATTTGCAAAACAGCTCAGTTTGGATGGACAGCGTCTGTGAGCATCAATTTCCAAAGAATCTCAGCTGGATTCAGGTCTGGACTTTGACTAGGCCATTCTAACACAGAAATCTGTTTTGATCTAAGCCATCGTCTGTATCTCTGGTTCTGTGTTTAGGGTCAAAGGTGAACCTAAAGGGGAAGAATGCTTTATTGATCCCAAAGAGAAACTAAATGTTTCTGTAACTTATTTTCTAAGTTCCTTCTGACTGTGATCCGGGACGATCTCCTGTAGCAGCCTGTATCACTGGAAGTCTGAAGAGGCCTCTGACTGAAGACAATCTGTTTTTGTATAGCTGCTACTGTATAAAGAGGATTCTTCATCCTCACGTTCCCTTGACTATACAACTGAACTGGATTATATTCAGGTGGATCAGAGTAAAACGGGTAAAAGAAAATGTTTAGCAGCACATGCTAGCATCTGGTCTGTTAGCGCTGATTGTTCTTTTTCTAGACTTTCGTTTACATTTTTGGACAATTTTTCTCTCTGGTTCTGGATGAGGGCAGCTGAACAAGATTTTTCCACAGAGCAGTAAGTTTAAGCCATCTCTTATCCCCTACTCTAGTATCTTTCTAACCATACGGCCTGACAGAGATTTAAAGAGGAGCAGCAAAAGCAAAGGATCAGCATCTCAAAAGCTCAAGCAATCCCTGAACTTTGACCTCAAATCCCAGAGGAATTGAAACAGAGGCTTTATGGATGAAGAGCAGGAAGTCTAAAGCATCTCATATCCCCTACTCTAACATTTTTCTAAGCATACGGCCTTAGAGGAGTGGCAAAAGCAAACAAGATGGATTAGCATTAGCGTCATCCGGGATACAATACTGTGAAATATCATCTCAATTTCCTGGATATTGTTTTGTCAACATGCAGCCTTGTAACAGTTGTACAGGAACAGTCTTCAGTCAGAGGCTTTTTCAGACTCGTTGTGAGACTGGCTGCTCCGGGAGAACATTTAATCTCCCTTTGGGATAACTACAATGTTTTGAATTTAACAGAATTTTGAATTTGAGCAGAAACTCACCGCACTATCTTCAGATTCCATGACATAAAATCCTCATAAAAACATTAAAGTTTGAATTTGTGACAATGTGACAGAAGATGTGAATCTTGTTGCTGATGTTAGTGACTGTGATGTTGTGTTGCCGTCTCTCTGTGCAGCATGCTGGGTGGCAGCGAGTCGCCGTGTTAGTGGAACGATGGAGCGTCGACAGGTGGAGGGAAAGAAACGAGGCCACGAAACCAAATATGTACCTGCTTCAATTTGCAAGGCCGCGACTTTAAATGCTTGATAAGGAGACAAGAAGAAGCAAACAGTCAAAAACCACAGATAAACTCTGGGCGCTACGCAGCCGAGGCCCAACCTGCGAACAAAGATGGCAGACGTGAACACAGACAGAAAGAAACGGGCGGCGTCGGCATGGAGACGTAGAAACTGTTAGAGAATTATGAAACAACGAGCGCTAATCTCCGCCGGCACCTTTTACTCAACAAAAAGCAGAAGTTTCAATTCAGGGAAGATTCAGACGGAGAACGTGACACAAAGTGAGTGTGTGTGTGTGTGTGTGTGTGTGTGTGTGATAAGAGTGTAATTACAGCTGGGCCGGGCTCAGGGCTGGGCAGAAGGATGGGGAAGAGGAAACAGAGCTCAGCGAGGGAGGAAGCGTCTTGGTATGGAGATAAGCTCCACCAGAGCTGGGCTCATTGTCAGCGTGCAGAACCAGACTGCGTGTGTGTGTGTGCGTGTGTGTGTGTGTGCGTGTGTGTGTGTGCGCCAGCCCCAACAGTTGCTCTGATGATCGTCCCGGCAGCCGCAGGGAGCCGTACTCACACCGACACCGGCTCGGTAATTACGCTGCTCACAAACCCAGATTAGCAGGAAAATGCGACGACTGCGGCGTAAACGTTAAGAGAAAATAAAAACAAAGCAGGAATCACGGCCGATCAGAGGAGAACGGACTCATCTAGCTCTGCATCGCTCACTCGGCTGCCGGCTGGGCGCCGATAAGCAGACGTCTCCTGAGCCGTCTTATCGTTAAATTGTTCTGTTCTGGAGAAGCAGAGCTTCAGCAATGAGGTCAGAGGTCAAACCCAGCTGAAGTTAGACGGCATGGAGGCTGTCTACGTTTATCGCAGTAATTCACTTAAAAACGTGAATCTCGTGTTGCACCGATCCACTGAGGTTAAGAATCGTCCGACACAGATCGGATCCAGAAAACCAGCTGCAGTGCAGCTCACCGTCACAGCAACAAACATCCTGCACCATAAACTGTTACCGCGATAAACTACAATGCTGCTGTTTTCAAACCAGTTTGAACTCATAAAAACTTTACATTTTAATGAGCTGGAAGAGATTTTAAATATTCAAAATAAAAACAACAGAAACAAGAAACAAAACAAATTATGAACAAAATTATCTTCAAAAAAAGGAGCAAGACTGAAAACTTATTACAGTTTTTGGTAGAAAGTGAAAGACAATAAATTATGCCAATAAAAATGGAATTGTTTTAATTTATTATTGGTTTATTAAATGGTTTATTGATTACTGTGACAGGCCTAAGGATATTTAAATACACCAATAGCTTCACAAGCGGATAATTCCGGGTGACTTTGACTGGACAGTCATGTGCATTGTGCAGGACATGGATGCTAATGCTAATGCTAGCGAGGTTACCATGGCTGGGTCACATGGGCTGGAGGGGAGGCCCTCCCTGGCATCCTCTGCAATAACTTCCTGACATGGAGACAGACACTGAAAGGTTAAAGGTCGCATCTGATTGGACGACAACAGCCTGGGAAACGTATTCACGCCCTCTGACCTTTCAGATCCTGATTCGTTAAAATCAGAAACTGCAGAGAAATTTACTGAGATTTTATGTGACAGAAAAACAGAAAGATTCTTAAAATAAACATCTGTGGTGTGTAGAAAATGCCTTTTATCTGATTAACGGATTAATCACCAGAATAATCCATTGTCTGATTAAACGTCAGCTTAAACAATTCAATCAAACAATTAATTGATTATTCTGACGATTAATCTTCAGAATGTGATGTTTAACTGATTAATCGTCTGGTTAAACGATTAAACTGATTTTATTAACCAATCAATTATTCCGGCGATTAATCGACAGAATAACTGATATGTTAATTGATTAATAAAATAATCGCTCGGTGCAGCCCTACAATAATCTCTGCTTGTTTGTCACATTAAATCCCAATAAAAATCAGATGTTTGCAGTTGGAACAAACAAAGTTCAAAGTGTGTGAATACATTTGGTCAGTGTGGAAGCTGCAGGAATGAAGACATTTTGAAATGAACAAGTGAAGAAAAGTAAAGCTAAAGCAAGTTAGATGAGGAAGAGGAAATGAACAAAATGAAACAGGAAGTGTTAAACAGGAAGTGAAGCGTCTGGTTTGTTCATGCAGCAGGTTGGACCCAAACACCAGATCAGGAAGAAACATCAGCGATGTGAGCGGAGACGAGGCGGTCCTGTGCTTTCCCTCGTTACTTACGAGTCCGGCGGCCTTCTGCAGCGAACTGGATGGTTTAGCGAAGGGACGTGAGGATGAGGGGGCGAGGTGAGCGTAAGGTCGCGGCAAGTGGTAGACATGATGGGGGAAATACGGCTACGATGGAGAGAGGACAACCAAACGCTGAAAATCATGCAAACATAAAACAACACGGGGAAATGTCTGGGACATAAAGGCTGGGGATTATCCAAACCATCGGTGTCTCAAAGTGTGGCGCAGGGGCCATTTGTGGCCCTTGAAATGATTTTATTTGGCCTCTGAATGGTAAAAATTCAGGCAACGGATTTTTACCAATTTGTTGGCCAGATTTAATGATTTATCTGATTCATGGGAATCACTTTGGTAAGTTCATGTTGCAAATGTGCCAAATAAAATGTTTTGACTTTGTGGGATTTTCAAAAATGTTTCCAGTTTTCTATGGATTATTTTTATTAGCAACTGTCCTTATTTATTGCTACGGGATGTTTTTAAGTTAACGGGGGAATGACAAGAAACATGAGTTTGATTCTTTGTATGTTTGATAAAATGACAATAAAATAAACCTTGACTTTGGTCTCTGTTACAAATAAATAAATTAAAAGGAAAAACCTGGATGAATACTTTGCGATTCGGGGAAAGATGGTTTTTAAATGTGAATCTGCATCAAACAGCCTGAACTGGCAACCAGTTTGTGACAGGGCCGTGCAGAACGGTTCTGAGGGCCGCAGATGGCCCCCGCGCCGCACTTTGGACACCGTTGATCTGAACATTAGGACCCTGACGCGCCTCACCCGGTTGTAGAAGGGGTGCTGAGGGCCCGTCATCCCACTGAAGTAGGCGCTGTGCGGCTGAGGCGGCAGCGCGCCGCCGAAGGAGCCGGTCGGGGAGCCGGCGGCGGAGAGCGGGCCGAAGCCCGGCGGGGGTCGCGGCGCCGCATCCTGCAGGGGCAGCGTGGGATAGGTCACCCCTCCTAAATGCATCTGCTCCCTGGCCGCACGCACATCTAAGGGAGGAGAGCACAGAGGAGAGGTCGTCAGCGTCTTGGCGATGAGTTTAGAGAGCCTTCAGATCCGCCCACGCTTCAGAAACTTTGGTTTATTTATGATCTCCAGAGGGAAGCAGAAAACAACGGCCTGAATTTAAAGAGGAAAATGGTTTTCAAACACGTGATGCTGGCAAGAGGAACGTTCGCCGATCCTTTAGGCTAAAGCTAAATATTAGCTTGAGGCTAAATAACATGGAAACTAAATATTTAGCTAAATATTTTAAAACTACATATTTAGCATGCTATGTAAGTATTAATTTTGAAGCTAAATATTTAATTTGGAGCTAAATATTTAGCGTGCTAGATCAATATTGGGTTTGCATCATAAATTTTTAGTTTGAAACTAAAAATTTATGATGAAAATATTAGTTAAATATTTAGTTTGAAGATTAAATATTTAGCTGCTAACTCAATATTTACTTTGGACCTAAATATTTAGCATGTTGAGTAACTACTAATTTTGCAGGTAAATATTTAGCTTGGTGCTAAATATTTGCCATACAAACTAAATATTATAGCTTGGAGGAAAAGTTTTATTTGGAAAACTAAATATTTTGTCTGGAGCTTGAAACACTAAATGTTTGCAGCCAAGTATTTCGTATACTAGCTTGATATTTAGCTCAAGGCTAAATATTTAGCTCATATTTAGCTTTTGTTTATCAGCAATGTGTCTTGGCCCCGACTCTAAAGAACCGACTATAAAGTGACATCTTTGGTTTATTTTATGATCTCCAGAGGGAAGTTTAGAAACAGTTATGACTTTAAAAAGAAAAGTGCTTTTCAAACATTCCCAAATCACAACTGGGAATCATAACGAGCACGATTTTTCTCCCATGATCTGCACGTCCATAATGGGAGACATTCAGAGTTTAAATTACTTTAAATCCCACTTTGATTCCTCAAGTCGTTTTTCTGCCAGTGAAGAGAAAAACTGCTGCTGCTGCTCAGCAGAAAATCTGATCACTGTGTAGAGGAACAGTCAACACCAACTATTTGGGATGTTTAACATGTCACGAGTTTAAAAGTCATATTTTCATTATGTCATTCATTCATTTATAAATTAAAGCAAATATATGACTAACAAAATATTTATCTCTAAACTAAATATGGCTTCAAACTAAACATTTAGTTTGGATCTAAATATTCTGAAGCTCAATATTTAGCCCATAGCTAAATATTTAGCATGCTAACATATTTGGCATGCTAACTCAATATTTAGCTTGCAGCTAAATATTTGACTTTCTATCTAAATATCTAAATTGAATCTAGATATTTACTTTGAAGCTAAATGTTTAGCAACCTAAGTAAATATTTAATTTGAAGCTCAATTTTTAGTTGGTAAAACTAAATATTTAGTTGAATTCTAAGACATTTATAAATGAATAAACAACATGGTGAAAATATGACTGAATTACTCTTCTCTCCGCTCCATCAGCTCTCAACTCTGCAGTTCCTTTTCCCCTTGAATCTGTTCTCCTGTGAGGTGAGCTGAGGCTCGGGTGAAACCTCCTGAATTAAGCGAGGAACAGAGCGTCTCTGTGTGCGCAGACCCAGAAAACAAGACGCAGGCACCAGAATGTCTCCTGCTCACACAAGCGGCAGCTGAATGACGTGCCGAGTGAGACCCAATCCGACCCGCCAACACAATGGGGCCCTTATGAGGCGAGTCCGGTTGCGGGGCGGCAGCCACTGACGGAGCCGCCCACCGCCCGGCTGCAGGGCGCCGGGTAGCGGCAACCGACCAGGCCGGGCCGCAGCGCCGCTCACCTCCTGCTCAAAACACACCTTTACGCTTCAGAACCAAACATCTAAACACAAGATGAATTTAGGCCAAACAAAAGGTAGTGAGAAAGTTTTCAACAAATAACTTGGGCAGGTCTTTGGTTTCCATTTCTACCAGCTTTGAACTGGAGATGCACCGATTGCAGTTTGAAAAGCTGGACCTGCCGATTCTGATTGTGGCTGATAATGAAGTTTTTTTTTAAAAAAAGTTGATAAATTTAGCACGAAAGTTGCTGATTTGGCAACAATGGGGCGATTATCGTAAACCGGCAACATGCAGACATGAGCTGGTGGGTGGGGCTAACCCGGTGGGCGGGGCTAACCCGGTGGGCGGGGCTAACAGTAAAACCTCTCACCACAGAGCGACTGATTTCTAGATCTCTGCTGAAATAAAATCGGCTTCACATGGACGTATCGGTTGATCGCTGATCTCCCAAAATTAAGAAAATCAGCACCGATAAATTGGCTGGTTGCACATCCTACTCTGAACGTCTACAAACTTTTCCGTACCATGACCCCCAAACAGTGTTTTTTTTTTTCCATTTCTTGCTAGCTCTGATAACTTGGCAGCCAATCAGAGAATTAGCATCAGAAATATATATATTTTTTTGGCTCTAGTGGCCTTTATTTGATAGTTAATTGACAGGAAAGTGGGTAATGAGAGAAGGGGAAGACATGCAGCAAAGGTCGGGAATTGAACCTGCGACAGCTGCGTCGAGGACTAAGGCCTCCATATGTGGGTTGTGCTTAACACCTGCGCCACCACAGCACACCCAGAAATAAAATTTTAATCAATTATTTAACTTATATTTTGTATAAAAAACCATGACTGAATAAAGGATACAAAATTTAAAAATCTATGGGATTCAGTTTTTTATCTTTTCTGCTGTCCAACTTTCACAGGCCCCCAAATGGCCCCCTGGCGTCCCTCCAGAATGCCGTGACCCACACTTTGAAAACACTGCTCTACAGCATCACATGTTTATTTTCCAAACATCTTAAGATCAGCTTAAACATCAATTTTCAAGTTGGAATTTGGACTTTGATTAGGCCATTCCAACACCTGCATCTACTTTCACAGTGTTCAAAGATGGGCTCGGGGGCCGTCTGCGGCCCCTGGACTGATGTCGTACGGACCCTAGCCACAGTTCACAAATAAATTAAATGAGTTTAAGCTCATTAGACGTTTGGTATTTCTGATTTTCCAGTAAATTTTCTTTATTTTTCTGCGATCTCAAACCGAAACGAGTCGCCTGGCTCGTGTGTTCCTGCCGTTCTGATATCGTTACGTAATCGCTGTAAAAGTGTCAGCTGCAGGAACTCTGTGTTTCCCACATCTTGTTTCTCATTTTCAAACAGTTGAATGCCAAGCAGGTTTTTTTCCTGCACAAACTGTGAAAGCGGGACAATAATGCCATTCAGTGCCGCCGCTCTGCATGCAGCTCCACCAGATTTCACAGTTTGTAGTCACTGTGACGTAAAAGCGAATCCGTACGAGAGTCGGAGGCACCACTGCTGCTGCGATGCGTCAGCGGCTTTACGGCAGCGTCAGCGTGAAGCCGCTGCATCATGGTGTGGTGAGACCACTGAAAACAAACGAGCACACTCACTCAGAGAGCGCTCAGCACAACGTGACTCATGGAGCGCGCAGGTGTGGAGGCTCTTCAGCCAGAAAGGCCAGGCTGCGAGTTTAATACCGAAACTTTCATCAGTCGCCATATTCCCTAAATGATTTTCTACATTTAGTTTGTTTTACTGGGATTCTATGTGACAGAACACAAAGCAGCAAATAGATGTGAAGAGAAATCAGCATTATACTGAAGGGCTGAAACGATTAATCGTGATTAATTGATTATTTAAATACAATTTATCTAAAAATGCAAACTTGTTTGAATTTTAGCAAAGATCAAGTTTGCCAAAATGCTGCACATACTAATAAAAATACAGCTGTAAACAAAAATCACTATGATATTGGAGGGCTGAAACGATTAATCGTAGTCAATCGTGATTATTCACGATTAATTATTATTATTTTTTATTATTTTTAATTTATAAAGCAAAATTGTAAATGCAAAGTTGTTTTCCGTTTGGAAAATAAATTTGTCAAAATGCTGTACGTATCAATAAAATAAAATCTGTCATTGTGAAGAAGAATTACTATTATATTTCACGGCTGAAACGATTGTGATTAATCGATTATTTGAATGATCATAAACTAATTCAGTAATTAATCTTTAACATGCTAAAGAAAATCATATTTGGAACAGCAACTAAGTTGAAACTTTTTGTTCTACCCAGCAGGTTTTAGCTTCACCTGGTCCAGATAAAAAATAATCACCTTTTGCTATCCAATTATTAATTGGTTAATTGGAAATGATCAGATCAGCTCTTCACCATATTGATAGGTCAAGGACAACAGCTGAGTTTAGTGTTTTACTTTATTTCTGCTGCAGAGGTAACATTTTCTACATATTCAGTAAAGGAAAGCAATTATTGCATCTTAGGCAATTTTGAAATCTTATTTTAAAAAAAGAATTAAATTATTTGTTTATTAGATTTTTTTAAATGGTTAAATTTGTAGATTCATCGTCAGAATAATTGTTGATGCTCAAAAGCCCTAAAAATATAATTTATAAAAATTAAAGTCACCGAAATGTTTTATTTTTTACGTTTTTAACTATAAACTTTGCCAGAAGGTTTTGGGTGTGCATGTAGACCCTGTGGGTTCTCTCTGGGTTCTCCAGTTTCCCCCACAGTCCAAAAGCACAACCAGAAGGTTTTAACTGGTTTCTCCGATTAACCTCAGTGGGAGCGCGGCTGGTGACCTAGACCCAGTGAATCTGACATGCTGCGACTCCAAACCTGCGATGATCTCCCTGAGTTTGGGGTCCAGGTTGACAGTGCAGGGCAGGAACGTCTCCACGTCTCTGGCGACGAGGACAGGCGTCCTGGAGGACAGGAAGACCTCAAAGCTGCGGATATCTCCATCGATCTCCAGCAGCGGCTCCACGTCCTTGGTGGTGGGGATGTTTTTGGAGATCCTGCATGTAAAATAAAGCAGTTAAAACATTACCTGCTAAAAAACCCCACTTATTTTTATCTGCATGAACTTGGGGCTAAAAGAGACGCCACATATTTGTGTCTTTTACATTTGCAGCAGATGACAAAAAGTGTTACGAACTGATAGAGGGCAAAAGGGGAAATAAGAAGCCGCGATGTTGAGATTAAAGAGATATGCCAACGGTCATCATCATCATGAGAGCAGAGAGATAACCGGATTTAGAGAAGGCGAGATAGCAGAAGAGAGGGGATGTTCGGGGACAGACAGAGGGAGGGATGTTATCTTCTCAGAGCAGAGGAGGAAACCTGAGAAGATGACAATCAGGGTAATTTAGCAAGCAGCAGACGGAAACACGTCATGATGGGCTGCTGCGCTTAACAACATGTTTATCATAAGTAAACACCATGTTTGGAAACGGCTTCCAGGACCTACACACTGCCTCATATCAATAACAACAGCCTGGAGTTTAAAGACGGGAACCTGTTTTAGAAGAATGTAAAACGATTAAATCAGGTGAACTCTCAGTTTTTCATCCGAATGCTTCATCTCTGGAGATATCACCACCACAAACATCCCAAACATCGACGAGTCTCCGCTGGGTTTCCCCCCCACAACTGACCCGCTTCCAGAATGAACAGAGGCTGGTCTTTCTTTCACTTGATTGGATGATTAGAGCCACTTTTAAGTCAGGATGAGGTCAGCATCCGGTGAGAAGACAGCAAGCTGTTAGGAAAAACTATCAGCTAAGTGAATTTAGTCGGACGGCTCTGAATGTCCCATTAAACTGAGCAGGTCAGGACCAGAACGCATCCAGCACTGCTAACTACGCTAACACTAAAGCGCTATTCACAAACATTATGTAAACCAGTGGTTTCCAAACATTTTCTGCGCCCCCAACCCCCTATGGATTAACGGGGGGGACATCGACTTCTTTGGGGGCAAAA